CGCATACGCCACCGACAGCGATGCCTTTGTCTATGGTTAGGCACAAGCAATACGTACACATACCTATGTAAATATGTATGTATGCAGGTATTGTGCGGGCGATTACTCAGACATACTCGGACTTAAACAGCACAGGTGTGCGCTCTCTCGCACATCGCTTAGCGGGAGCTGAAAGCAATTAAGACTTAAAGTTGCAATGAAAAAAACGATTTGATTTTCAATCAATTAATGTATTAGACCAAAAAGGTGAACTTATTTACTCTTGTTTTCATGGCGCTGCAGCAACACGCTCACCAGCCACAGCCACGGGCGTTAGCCAATTTGGCCGAAGTCGCGACAGGCAATAACCCGCAGCCTCACACGTCTGGCCTTTGCAGCTTGTTGTTATGACGCTGTCGATCATCGGAAAATACACAGAGTTACATACATAAAAATAGAACTTAATGCTTTATTGAACTGATTTGTTTTTTATTAAGTTTGCCTTTGTTCCTGTATTGCTTTGCATGGGCGTACGTTAACGGATCTCGTATGGTTTTGTTGTTTTTCTTAATCTTTATTTGTGCCCTGCTTGCAGCCTATTTAAATAGAGTTGGTAGAAGTTACGACTACTTCTGAGGCCACCGACTTCAGTCCATTCTAACAATGGAGCATTTTACACGTGAAGCAGACAGGTAAAAAAGATGTCGATATGTCCGATTTTAGTCTTAGTCTTAGGACTAAATTTTAAAAAGTTACAAAAACTTAATAAATAATCTGCATGTGTACTTCTTTAAGTATCTTTTTAACAAAATTTTTGATTATTAAAAATCTTTTGAAAAAAACTAGTAATTCTTAAGCAAAATATACAACCGACCTCAATGCTCAAATAAAAATTTAGCAGTACCGCTAATTTCTTCATGGTCCAATGATCGGAACTAAAACAAAGTATTGATCTATTATTTTTATTGGCCAAATAATAGATATAAGAACGATTATGAGAAATGTAAACATAACAAAACTGTCAAAGCTAAACTTCAAAATGGGGGGATTGCCAGATGAATGTACGTAACCAATAGTTATTCAAGACACGAACCATTATATCAGTATACACACGAATTGACATGGCCACTATGAAAACGCCCACA